CAGACCATGCTTATACGTATGGGGAGCAAAAGATGCATGGTGTATACTATTACTAATACGGCGCGCCGATAATATCAGTGGTACTTAACTCGATCCTATAAAAGCTACAATTACTGCTCTTTAGAATGAAATAGAATAAAGAGTGTATGGCTGGGTGCTTTCTCAGGCCCGTATGCAGGATTTTTATTGGGTGGGTGGGAATCTGTAGAGAGTGAACTAAAATGACTGGGGGCCGCAGATTTCTGGTGGATCAAGTGGACGGAGCCGGCCCCTCGCGCTCGAGCTCAGACATTTTTGATAATTTGAGGTCTTAATTGAATCTCAAGATGCAATATCAATGGTATTAAATGGTTTTTCAGTAACAGATTCAGGAAATAAGGGGGAGGGTGCTAGGGAGAGATTTTCACAGATGAAGTGTTCACACCACCTCAGCCCCACCATGGGCCGGAAATGACACTATAAAGACTCAAAGATTCGTAAATAAATCGAGGTAGAGTAAAATATTCCTACATATTGGGCATACACATAATAACCCTGTCTCTTATACACATCTAGATGTGTATAAGAGACAGGTGTCTACAAGTTGAAACAGTTCGCATTTTTGTGAAGAGTGAGCGCTGTTGTTCTTTGATATTATCATCAAGTATTTTTCCCATAGACAGACTCTATGAGCAAAATACAGGAACAAGAACTTTAAAAGGTGAGAATTCTTTCAACTTGTATACACCAAAGAACATGTTTGCTCAAGCATGAACAGTTACTTGCATAGGCCTATATAATATTAAACCACTTGATTTCCACGTTAATAAACGTTTTCTTACAATACCATAACAATGTTTCACAGCCCAGTGGTTAATATTTCACCAAGTATATAAAAGGCGACTTATTGTTCATATTACGAAAAATGCTTGCACACAAGAACCCCTCCCCCCGCCCCACCACCACTGGAGATTCGCTTTGCATAAAAATTACACTGCTGTATTTAAAATCCACCCTTTTATCACCATTTTTTACCAGCTAGCTCTCTCTCACATAATACTCAAGGACCCCATCCCTTCTAAATGACTATGTGTTTGGACACGATTTTTTGGCCCTATCTGCAGAGGAATCAGCTCAAGAGACGTAGCCTGGTATTCAGTCGACAGTACGAGTTGGCAACTTGTACAGGTAAAAGTAGGTCAAATTTGTAAAAAATATCTCCGCTCCCTGTTTGTTTTACATGTTTGCGTGACTGTATATAAATAATAGCATTTTTGCATGGTATGGTTTTGTATATTACAATATCGCACAACATACTAAATAATACAAAATTTATTTTATTTTTACATTCTAAATTTTATTATCAATTGCTTTTAATTTTGCTAAAAAAACATATTTTACAGTATTCATATTATTTCAAGTGGCTATCATGCCAGCTGACATAATAGTTTAAATTCACTTTACTATCAAATCATGGGAAACCAAAAATAAAGTGATTTTAAACACTTTTAATTTAGAGTGTTATTACTTCCATGGACATGCAAAGATTCAAGGGGTAGGAACCCTAAATTTTTGAAAATTAAAAAGGTGGGGGGGGGGGAGAGAAAATAACTAAAAGTGTCCAAGATTGCAATTTCTGGCCATCTAATAGTGATATAGACAAAAAAATTCACGTTGGGGCTGAGGCAGTCTGAACCTGTAAAATTGACTTTGTAGGCCTCACCTCTTTTGAGTTCCTTGAATCTGCCACTGATGGAGATATGTTAGGCTAATTAAAATACAATTAAGGTATAAAAGATGGTGTGAACTCATTAACAATATAGTTAATTACATGACCACTTGGTCTGCTGTCAACTCATTGGCACATTCTATAGAGATTTAAAAATATCTAAAAATAAGATAGTTAAAAAAGAGAAAGGTTTAGTGCATGCTTTTTTTAAAACTATAATATAAAACCAATTCTATCTCTGGGCCAGATTCTACACACAACACGACTTCTTAAAAGACCAACAGGTATCGGTCCTAGATCTTTGGAATCTTTTGAGTTCGTTTGATTGTCCCCTTCAACCCAAACATGTCCTTTAGGTACAAACTGTGTCTGTCTGAGGAATGGCCAAGATGTCGAAGGCATTTCATCATAAGCAATCCTTACAACTCGTTTGCACATTAACTTGTTTGGCTCGTATGGTGATCGAAGTACTACAATGTCGTTTCTGTGAATGTTGTGGAAGAAGTGTGTGCTAACATGTTCAGTGAGCATTATGTCATTGTGGTATATCGTTGGCTGCATAGATGGTCCAGTGCACCGAGTAATATCAAGTAAGTATTCTGATATGCAATGGAGTGAACAGTAGCCGAAGATGGAATACTTGAAAGCAACACCAAATTTGTTGATTAATGTGCTCCACATCACAACCAGATATGACAAATGTAACTAAAAAAAAAAGAAACAGAAAGAAAAAACATCTCAAATGTATTTTTCCCAAATGAGCACAAAATTCTGTTATGCTTCGACCCAACACATCAAAATTAAGCATCCACCCAACAGACCCCCACCATGTGACTGTGACCATGCCATATTTCGCCATCTATCCTAGATAGGGGTCAGTGTGTGCAGTTGTTCCGACCGTGTGACAATTGACTACATACAGTAGATAGGACAAAAAAAGAAACTAAGGGGCGGAGTAAGAATATAAATAATTTCTATACTTACTCCGCCCCTTAGTTTTTTTTTTTGTCTCAGTAGAGAGTCTGTCTCTTATACACATCTAGATGTGTATAAGAGACAGGTCTAAGAGCGGTATTATTGTACGAATTTCTGACACACGCGGTTTTAAAGGGTCAAGTGCATTTATAACGCGGTCAGCTGCAAACAATAGGTAGTTTTCGCCACATGACGTTAACGTTAACGGATGACGTCCTAATTTATTCATCTTGCATTGCGGAGTACGTTAATTTTAGGATTTTACGTGCTTGACGTACATTAGTTACGGGTTTGCGCATGCGTATTTTAATTTGTTTACAAAAGGGGCGGAGTTATTGCGTTGCATGTTTGGTACTAACGTTATAGTTAAATTACACCACCATTTCAATGTAACCGGTGTATCTAAAGACTCATTTTTAACGTAATAATGTGATTTCGACAATAGCCGTTTTTTTTTTCTTTTATTTTAAATGTGTGAATTATAATTATATTAGAATATTGATTCCAGCTCTCGTTTTAATTAAATCCTGTCATAAGCTTGGGGATATTTCCTTATATTTTACAATACAATCTAGATATTTGTAAAAATGCATTGTTTATTATGCTTTAGGCCTATTATAATTAAGGATAATAATTTTATGTTATCATACCTGTATTCCTATGTAGAGTATACGAACCTAGAATAATACTTACCGTATGAGCTGAGGAAACATTCTGCAACCCCAACTGTTGTCAGAATGC